GGCTGTATAAAGAGTTGTTGGATGAAATCGCCTGGAAAACTCTACATGGGGACAAAGAAACATAACATAGCTAGCAGCACCCTAAGGTTGCCTTTTTGAGAGCACAAGAGCTCTCCATCCTCCAGCAAAAGAAATCAGGGTGATGAGGCAGGAAACCACCTGGACATGCTTGAAAAGTGGGCACACAAATATCTAATGTGGTTTAACAAGACCAAGTGCCAAGTGTCGCACTTGGTTGGGGCAATCCCAGATACGGGTACAGTCAGGGAGAAGAACTCATTGTGAGCAGTTCTGCAGAGATGGACTTGGGGCTCCCAATGGACAAAAAGCTAGACAAGAGCCAGCAGTGTTCTCTTACAGCCTAGAAGCCAACTGCATCCTGGGCTGCATCAAAAGACCATCAGAGAGAGGTGATTGTCTCCTTCTCCTCTGCCCTTGTGAGGCCCCAGCTGGAGTACTGTGTCCAAGTCTTGGGTCCCCAGTACAGGAAGGATGTGGATGTGTTGGAGCAGGTCCAGAGGAAGCCATGAGAATGATCAAAGGGCTAGAGTACCTCTCCTATGAAGAAAGGTTGAGGGAGACCTCATTGCAGCCTACCAGTACTTGAAGGGTGCTTACAAGCAAGAAGGGAACTGACTTTTTACACAGTCCAAAAGTGATAGGACAAGAGAGAACAGCTTTAAACTAAAATAAGGTAGATTTAAGTTAGTTGTTAGGAAGAAATTTTTTACTCAGAGAATGGTGAGGCTCTGGGACAGTCTGCCCAGAGAGCTGTGGATGCCCCATCTTTGGAGGTGTTCTAGTCTAGGTTGGATGAGGCCCAGGGCAGCTTGATCCAGTGGCTGACTGTTAGCATGTGGCAAGGGGGTTGAAAGTGCTGCTCTTTAAGGTCCCCTCCAACCTAAGCCATTCTATGATTTCCATTTTTAAAGGTGGATAGAAAACAGTGCTTCAAATGATTCCCTCAGATTATTCAACTAGCAGTACAGCTCCATGATAAGCTGTGCTTAGAATTAAGTAACAGTGCCTGAATAACAGAAATTATTATTTCTTATCAAGTCATATTTCCAGGTAATGGATCTAAAGTATTGCCATTATTAGTTCAAGAGCCTTGTATCCACTTGGTATATTTGGAACTTATTTCCATTTGTAGTTCTGCAGGACGATACAGAAAGAAGTGCTAAGGGAAATTCTTGGTGCTTACATCAAAGGATTGGCTCCAGGCTTGCACCACCACAGCTGAGAGTAGGCAGCCCTCCACGCTATGCAATTACTTCTCACAAATAACTTTTCTTTTAGGAGAGAGAAAATTCAAGGGATGGAGGATAAAGTCAGTAGTGTAGCCTGGTTGCACAACTACAAATCTAAAACAGCATTTATATTCTCTGCATTATTTTCCTCATTGCTTGTCTGGCACATGGGGAATAATCCCAGAACTCTGATGCTAAATCCCAGCAGAAATATTCTGCTTTTAATTGCAGAAGACTTTTACAATTTATGTAGGCATTTATTTATTTATTTTTATTTATATTTGTAGCTCCATTGACTTCAGTAATTTTCCCAAATCGTCTCTGGTGAAGAGGAGAGTGGAATTTCACCCACTGCTATTTAAGCAAGGCATCATAATTATTTCTTTAGCAAATTCATTAGCTTGAATAATTATAGAAATGAACAGTAAAACATAAAACTCTCAAAATGTCATGGAAGAGTTGCATTTCCCACCTTGCCCTCTGATAAATTGGCATGGAATTATAAAACTTGGTAAAGGTGCCATGCAGTCCTAAATAAATCTAAAAGCAACATCTAAATCATCAAAAGCAAGTAGCTGAAAGCATAGGAAAATCCTTTCTATTCACTCTCAAGCATGAAAGAAGCAAACAAACAAAACCACTAAAGATCCCTGGTAGACTTTCTGGTTAAAACAGAGGCAGGAGTCAAAAGTTTCACTTAGGTGGCAAACATGAGGAAAATGTGGACTGATAATTCACTCAGCTAAGTGGTAACAGCAGCATGCCAAATAAAAGTAAGGGGAAAGCAAGAATTTCAGCATGTATTCATGGGTATCCATGTTGCCATGGCAACTTCTCAATGGAATAAAGTATTTTCTCCTTTCTTTAGGGATAAAAAAAAAAAGATAGATGCTGTTCTGCAAATAGACACTTTGCCTTTTTAAAATAATTCCATAACTGTATCTTGAGCAGAATTTCCTCTTGTAGCAGACATTGTCTTATTATGCTTTAGAAAAAGACTTAATATTGTAAAAGGACACTACATTTCAGACTTGTTATTCAAGAGGTTTCTCTTCCCCTCTTTTTAATCTGTATGCTTATTAAAAGCCGAAATTCCTTCACATTTCTGGATCTTCCTCTTCTCCCTCTCTCTCTTTATCTCTCTCTCTCTCTCTCTTTTTTTTTTTAATCCTCTTGTTTATCTAAAGAGCTTAGATAATCAACATATTCTGCAGCAGATCTATGCTTTGTGGTTGAAGCTAAGGCTGTGTTTGTTTCCTTTCAATTTTCTGGAGTGAGATTCTAATCTCTTATTTTTTGCTATTTAAAGCAACTGTATCAACTAAGTTATTCCATCGTCAGCAAGTGTTAAAAATTGGATTCAATGCCAATAAAGAAATATCAGTTAGTTTTGCATCTTCACCTCAAGCTCACTGACTGAAAATGTCACTCTGTTTAATCTCGGTCATTCTTTCCTAGATAAGGCAGCTGATAGTAGATGTTAAAGTTGAATAACCCCCTTTGAATTCAAAACTGTGCTATTTTGGAAACTGGAAGCTATTTTGGAAAGTATAACAATTCCAGAAGTGACTGAAAAATATAAGTTATAAACATTCACTTTCAGAAACAACTTGGAAAGCTTCATCATAGAACTTAGGTGTTTTTACTCGTAGACACTGACACTGAATGCATTTTAAATATCGAACAATATTGTTGTTGTGCCTACTGAAGTTATAAAATATATGTGTTTCTAAAGCCACTGATTTCATAAAATGTGTTTGTTTCCAGAATATATCTATGACGATAACCTTAAATGAAAAGTTACAAACTGACTAATTCTTAAATATATTCACTGCGACTGGCAAAGCGTCTGGGTACATATCACTAGGATGGAGGAGTTCTAAGAATTTGGATATAGTTAATACTATCTTTGAAAAAGAGAGCTAAATCTAACTATTCGATCCCTCCAGGGCTTTTAGAAAACATTGCTAGCAGCTTGCTGATTCCTTTATACAACCTGCCTCCTACTGCTTTGATTATCTCATACAGTACACTGCACTGAAAGCTCCACTTGACAAATATAGCCAGCTCAATTCTAGTTTCATTTATTCCACGTTAACACTTGTACCATTTCCTGTAACTCTCTATTTAGTTGAGCACAGACTGGGATCAGATCCACTTCATTCAGTTAATGCAGTCCAATTTAGTCAGTTGAGTTCATCTTGATTCATGCTATTAGAAATAAGGGTAATCTTTACATATGAGATCAAAATACATGTTTTTTGATTCTATTCATTTTATGTCTATGGCTAAAATATATGTGGCCAGGAATGCTCCTGGGCACTGAGACCAAATTACAGAATCGCAGAATATCTCAAATTGGAAGGGACCTATAAGGATCATTGGGTCCATTTCCTTGCTCCAAACCCCAAATCAGACCAAACAGCATGAAATAATCCGTAGCTATGCTAAAAATAAGACACAACATCTTAGTTTCCTGAAGAGTGCAACTTCATGCAAACAACCACCTAGAAATGGTCCCTTAAAAGTACCTGTGAGGGGGACAACTAAATATAATTATACACATACATTTATATGTATTTATATAATGCATACAAAATTTGTGCCAGAGAACATCCTAAAATAGGTCTGCTATAGTAGATGGGAATACTTGAGTTTACAGGACTAGACAGACTACATTATTTGGAGGGCACAAGTCAAGATTAAATACACAAAACCAGCCCAGTAACCCCAGTTAGTCATCGTTTTGTAAGGCCAGAATATCAGCAAGCTGCTGGCTTGTATCTCTTTCACTTCCCATTAAATCACTAACACTGCTCAATCTTCATTTGGGTTGTTGGTACAGAAATAAATAGAAGAGAGCTAGATTTACACCAACATAATCATAGACTTCAGTGCCAGAAGGGACTGTTGTTATTGTCATGATGGAGTATGTCTGTAGAAGCCAGTAGACCTCTGCCACTGTATTTTAGGCACTGTGATAATAATGAGCAAAAGCGAAACAAACTCTAGAAGCTCTCAGTGTTAGAACAGCACAGTATTGTTTGATTATATGAGACTGTATCACCTAGGTAAATATGTAATCTTGGCTTACAAACTAACTCACAGTGTTTGTAAGTGGAAGGGATAGCTATCGAACATACTTATTTCCTTTGAGCAACAAAGATCACTTCTTATTTTTCTTTTGAACTACTGAGGTGAACAGCACAGATGTTTCTTCCATGCTCTAAGGATTATTTACTTAGTTATTTGCTTATTTATGTTGAAAGCAGACAAGACTAATTGGATAGTTTTAACTCTTGATGTAGAAAGTCACAGAGAGGAGTAGATCTTCTTAGAACCGTTTACTTCATTCACTCACCAGCCATTTTTCAGTGATTGTTTGCTAGCTATCTGTATACATAAACATTTCTTTAACTCGGCTGGCTGCTCCAGCACACACAAGCCTTGTTCAGTCTGTTAAAGCTCATGCCTGGAAACAAAAGCATGACTTTCCTCCCTCTAGACTGACTTCTATTCATAATTAAACTATGTTCTACAGTCAAAGCAGAGATAGAGAGATGAATGAATGCTCTAAATGAAGATCCGCATAAAATCTGGAAAGCAGTTTACTTTCTCTCGAGATACTGCACCTCACTTAAGTACCTGAAGTCAGGCTGGATAGTTTGGGCTTGATCAGCTTTTCCCTTTCCCTGGTTCTGTCCTTTCCTCTTGCCCTCCCCTTACTTTCATCCCTTTGCCTGTCCTTACCTGCCATGAGGAGAAAAATGATGCTGGACTGAGTAAATTAGGGTTGGTGGGGTGTTGGCCACCCATGTATTCATCAGTGCAGATCACACAGTCCTCTGCATCTCGCCAGTCCCAATAGGGGATGGTGAAGTTCTCATCACCCGTTATCTTCTGTATCTCACGTTCCCACAGCAGCAGAAAAGCACGATGCCAAGGCAGAAAACCAGGAGCTTCATGGGCAAAATCAACGTCCCTCCACACATTGGAGCCACCTAAAAGAGTGTCTCGAGAGGCATAATAATGCATCCAGACGAAGAGATCATACACGTTGATATTTCTGAACATGGGGTTGGAGCCGTTGTTCATCTGAGCATATGTGCCAGTAGCAATGACATAGTCCTTGCTAGGGATATTCTTTGCTAGGGTAAGGTAGGCAAGGAACTTGTCCTTCTCACTGACGGTGAGCTGGAAGATGTTTCTTCTCGTTCTGAGTCGCCTTTCAGTGCAGTTTTGTCCTGAGAAGCCAAACTTGCACTCCCCACAGTTGAACCCCATGAAATTGCCTCTGCATCTGCATGTCCGGTTGTAAAACACAGAAGGCCAATCCTCTCTGTCATCCACTCCTGAGAAAGGGAACTGTGGTCCCAGAGGAGCCTGAGAGAGAAGGATGCGCTGGCAGGTTCCTCTGTTGGAACGCTCCCCGCAGGGAGACCCATCTCCATCCCAGGGAGGACAGCACTCCTTCCTCAACAAGCTTTGTGTGTTCGCACAGACTCTGGGGAACTGCCCAGTGGATGGCTGAAGGATGACCAGCAGTAAGCCTGTGGAAAACAGAAACATCCTCACAGAGCAGCAGGAGACCATCAGCGTTATGCTTCAGTGCATGGAGAGTTCTCTCTGACTGCTCCAATGACCTGAGTGTGAAAGAAACTTCACCCAACTGGGAACGCTTCACCACTGACTTCCGCTACTGTGCACCCTGCAGTGTCTTTCCCCATTCCTACCCTGGATGCATTTACGTGCAGAATACACTTCTGTGATTAATCTGACTATCACATGTTGTGGATGAAAGCCAACTGACTTTTTTCCCCACCCCCTAACGGTTTCAAAATGAAGGCAATTATTGCAAAATTTTAATCTTCTGCCTAGCACATGATTGCTTTCTTGTTGCAGTTGGAGAAGAAGTAAGATTAATATCTGGACACGGGAGCAACAGTTGGCTATTAGGCAACATTGTTTGATAATATGCTTTTGTGTAAATTATTGTTTGAAAAAAGATCCGGAAAATCTGATCAGTTAAATAAGGACAGTGAACAAAAAAATGGGAAAATGACTATTAGTGTGCAGATAGGATGGGGGCACAATAAATTATTTGGCTTGGTCTTTTTTTATATTTCAGCTTTAGCTGGCTTTCCCAGACCAGCATATGGCAAAGTAACTCTAAGAAGTGAAAAATTGTCGAGAAAAAAAAATCTTCGTTCCCCTGTTATGTCTAGCATTTTAATAGATAACTCCATGCCAAAACCTGCACCCAAATCTCTTCAGTTTTTTGGGAATATACACAATTTGGTATCAGATTTGACAACAGTATTTTTAGCAGGACCTGGAAACCAAACCTTGGCTTCTGTCTTACTCCCATCAGGAAGCACCAAATCTATGTGCTTTGCTCAGTACATTACTCCAGACAACTCACTCTTTTTTCTGAGAAAGCCTGATCTGCAATAGCGGAGCTATTCGAAAACTATTAGAAGTTATACCTACTTTGAAATTACCTCTTGAAGCAGGGACAGCTGTCGGTTTACTTGTAGGCAAATTGCACTTAAATTATGCATTTTTCTTTAGCTATCATTCTTACTACTAAAACTGCAGGAGTTTTGTTGTCATTGTTGCAGTTGCTTTAATCTCTTTTTTTTTTTTTTTTTTCCTGCAAGAATAATGACTACAGAGAACCTCAGAAGGCAGGAACGACGCCTAGGGAACTAAGGGAGATCTCTGCTGGGAAACGATACCTTTTGCTGGGATCAGCAGGTCATCACATGACCGTGCTGAGGAGCACGAGGTGCTTTAATCCTGCTGGCTTCTACGCCTCAGATATTCAGGGAGATTATCTCTGAGTGCCGGTGCCTGTGATGCGGGCTCTTGGAGCAGAAAGAGCAAGGGTAAAAGAGTTGTATTTTCAAAAATAGTTCTAACCACAGGCTGATGCTTACTGTTTGTCTGGTTCTCCTTGTTCCCATGCTAGGCTTATAAAACAGATTTCATCATGGAAATGCTGCTTGTTTGATTTATTTTATTTTCTTTCTTCCTGGCTGTTTGGGAAACCTTTGCAATCTATTTCATTTAGTGTTCCTCCTGTGGAGGCTAGTGCAAAACTGCTACACATGAGAAGAGAGCCATCTCGGAGGATAACGATATGTATTTTCTAATGTTCAATGAAAAGCTGTGGGGATTAAGAAAGGCTTGAGGCAAAGCCTCAGAGCGAACCAGAATAGCACTTAAATATATATTTAAGCAGATAGCTATACACAAAAACACATTCAATATGTTATGTTCATATTCAATGGAGATTTTATGTTCAATGTTAAAAAAAATGAGAATACAAGTCTTGACGTTTGTCATATGACACATTTCTGAAGCAGCTGGTTAGCAGAGGAATCTTCTGTGAAACTATATGAATGAGAAACTCTGAATGAGAAATGTGACTGATGAGAAGCATATGCTGCCCTTCTTGACCTACCAATGAGCAGAGGCTTCCTTTAATTAACTGTCAGTGATTCAGATAGTATTTAGAAAATCAACCTTTCCATCTATAAACAACCATAAGTAAGACAATACATGTTCCTATTCCCCTGCATGACTGAGTCACCAAAACATGAGATAGTCACACCTGATGTGCTGCATCCAGGCCAAATGCTCGTCATTAATAATACCTCATACGACTTTCCATTCCTCCAGCCCATCGTCATAGAATTCTGGAATATCTGAGCTGGAAGAGACCCATGCTATTCATCGAGTACAACTCCTGGCTGCACAAATGACCACCCAAAATTCAACTCGTACTTCTGACAGAACTCTAACAGAACCATCATTTATTTTTAACTGAAGCTTGTGTATAAACTGAAGTCAGACGTTAGACTGAGAATTCTGTCTTGAATTTTGCCAGGGGATTAACATCATGCTGCGTGCACTGAAACCTCATTCTCACATACAAGTCCCAACATCTGAGAACGAGTCAAGACTTTTTTATTCAAGGCTGACAAATGCTGGATTTTCCACAAGATCAGCATGGTTGTAGCAGACCACTTCCTATATCCAAAAATATACTGTAATTTGGTGGCCCTATCCAGGTTTATCTGATTCTAGAATAAAAATGACCATGAATCACATTAAATTTGGGTCCTGTAGGGGAAACCTCCAGGAACAACCTAGCATGGGGCTCTGAATTTTAACTCCACACAAAAATTTGCAACTGGGTCACTTGAAGAATTGATTTCAGTGTAGCAGAGTAATACAACAATACTTAAGACCTAAGATGTGCTTTCATTGCAAAGTTCTTAAGTGCTTTGTAGAGTTGTCAGTAATTACAGATAAGAAAACCATCACAGATACAGAATAGTGAGATATCTTACATGCTATTTTTCTTGTCATTTTAGGATTAGTTTTTCAGCATCATTGCAATTGCCAAACCAAATTGTTTACATGGACAGTACTCATGATTTTCTGATGTAATTATGAGCAAAGATAAAAGAACAAATCAAATTACAAATAGTGCAAAAATAGCTCTTGACCAGAGTTAACTCACATTTAGGAGATATTACTGGAAATTTCGATTTTAGGCTGCTGAAGCAATGAAATGAATGAAGCAATCAAAGTGTCAGGTAATATTAATGGATTTTTAAAAACTTCTAGCATCTGGATGATACTGTGAAGATAGTGTGTCTCAATATCATTTCTTAATAATTTTTAGGAATTCTGTGGGTTTGTTAGAGGTTTAATTGCCTATGTTAAGCAGAGAAAAATTTGGGAAAATCAAAATGTGCTTTTATTTGAAATTATTTTAAAAGCCAAGTATAAAATCATTTAGAAACAAAAGCTGGATTAAGAGAGAGAGTTCATGCTGCCCAGTTTTAATGGAGAGAAAAAAATTAAGTGTAGAGAAAAATAGAAAAATAATACATGGCTATTCGAGATGGATGAGTACAAGGACGTTTCGACAATGAGAGAGCACTGACAAATGTAAGAAAAGATAGGCTATTATCCAGCCAGGAAATTCAACTCAACAAACCAGTAGGCTTAAATTATGCTCTCTGATCCCTACTTGCTCCTTGCTGTTGTTCAGCATCAGCATCCTTATGCACTGCACAAGGCACTGTGTTTCAGACATTTGCCTGAGCTTCTGCTGAGCTTGTATTTCATGTAGCTGAAGGACTTAGCATTGGTTTTCCTTCCCTTTCCACATCCCAAGTTCCAGATGGAGCTAACAGTATTTTTGGTGGCTTAACCATGAGCCAAATCTGGCGCCTGGCCCCCAGAAGAGGGAAAAGAGTGGTGAAAGCAGAACGGTGATATTTGAGCATGTCATAGATACTACTATGAAGAGTCCCATCTAGCACTGAGAACCTTGAAAAAGCCAATTATTCAAAGTTTATGCAAGGAAAAGGAAAATATTTACTTTCAATCTATAATCAATTTATTGTCTTTAGGTGAGAAGAAAACACGTTTCTTATTAGAATGTAAGCATTTGGCTCTTTATTGAGAAGCAGACTAGGAGCTCCCACACGCTTTTTAGCTGAAGATAAATACCCCCACACCTTTTTTGGTATGATATCTGGAAATAAGACTTAAACACCCATTTAGATGTATGAAAGGAGCATGGCCTCAGGCTGAAAAAAGATTCTGAGCCCTGCAAGTAATCAACTTTTAACTCAGGATCAGCATACCTAATATCCTCTCTGCACAGCTGATGATATGATAGATATACCCGCAGGTGAATTCAGCTATGAGTGGGTTGTCGGCCCCTAATCTGAAGTTCAGTGAGGACAAAGTTCGATTGAGCTTGGCATGTGCAGAAAGTTGAAGCCACCCTGTGCCAGCCTTAGCCCTGAGCCCTTGTAGAAAAATTCATGTATGTAATTAGCTTCCTAGGCTAAAATTATGTTATGGCATAATTTTACCGAGAGTGATCACTGCATTATTGTATCAACCCCCTTACTGATCACAGCATTAACCTGCTCCATGCTTGAATCCCTAGTTTCAGCATTGATGAATTGCTCAGAGAAGGCTGAGTGGTGTTGTAGAAGTTGTTGCTTTTATACTATATGCAAAAATGAGAAATGCGTGTTCCTGTTCTAACAGAAACAGAAAGATGTGGACAGATGATATCTCATTGGTAACAAAGCCTGCTGACATGAAGTTAATCTGCCTATTTTAACATCATCGAACCATTGAGTTTTATAGAATCAGTGTTTTTATTACAGAATCATATAATTATTGAATTGTTTGAGTTGAAAGGGACCTGTAAAGATCATCTAGTCCAGCTCCCTTACAATGAACTCCCATGCAATGAACAATGTGGCTACAGTATTTTTGATCGACTGGGAGCTCTAGAGGCTGTGTGCACAACACACAGTGGGAATTAGAGCCGATGTGTAGGAATATGATAAAAGGAATAACAGATCTGCCATCCAAAGCAAGACTACTAATGTATTGATCTGTACTATTTAGATCTTTGTTGCAGGCTACACAAAACCTATCTGATGCCCATCAGTCTTGATGACAAGACAGCAGCTAAGGGGGATGCTGAAGCAATATTTTCATAATTTTGTTCTGCTCTGCTTATGCTTCACTTCTACTTTTCACTCTTTGCTGAAAGACAGCCTGGGTTCTGGTTTTCTGGAGCAGAGTGGAAATTTTGGTGAGTCTGAGTGCCTTTTAAAGAAAAAGTATCACAATTTTTTCCTACTATGTGGCTGATACATACTTTTCACCTTGATAGAATACTAGTGCCTAGATTTAACTGGGTGGATAATAGTATATTGGTTCAGGAATTCCCTGTTTCATCTAACAGCTCATTGGTGCTGAAAGTACAGAAAGTTTTTCATCAGTCTGATGAAAAACTATCCACATTCTGCTTATTTTCTAAGGGGATTTGTCCTTCTGAGGGGGTCAGACAAGCACTCCAGCTCATGCAAAACTAGCAGTAGAAACAGCTTGAGGAGAAACAAGGCCAGTCATTGCTATCCGTTAGGGCACTTAGACTAACTCCCCCATATCGTCAACCTGCATCCTTACTGCTCATGCCCCCTTCTTTGTTGATAGCAGCTGCACAATCTTAGTTTTTTAATGAATATATAATCTTTTCTTTCCACTAACCTCTGATAATCTCAAGTCTGCAGGTTGGCTTGAGGGAACCTTCCTCTGGGGTTGCCCACTTTAGTAGCTCCTCTTCAGAAGCAGCTGTGTCTGGTAAGTGTTTCTCCATTCCTGAATGCCTTCACGTCCTTCTCATGGACCTGTCCTGCTCCATTTATCCAGCTCTATGGAGACACCTGAGAGTAATGAAAACTCCTAGATGTTTTTGTGTGAGCATGTGTTTTGGGAAACAGGACATCAAATAGTATATTAAAAAAAGCGAGAGCACAAAGCAGGTCTGAGTTGCTTC